ACCACTCAGGCTCTCTGTTCCCTTACACCTTAAGCTACATACATATTTTTTCTCAGTCCCTGTCGTATCCACGTCAACTTGACTTTTTCAGGGCTATGCACTGACTAAAAACAATTATGCATAAAGACCAATCCAACAAGGAATTGGCTCCCACTTCTAACTACAGGGGGCCCCCCTTTCCATGGGGGACACACTTCCAGACCCCCGGTGGATGCCTGAAATAGTGGCTAGCAATGAACTCTACATATGCCATGCTTTTTCCTACACGTATGTACTTACGATAAAGCTTTAATATATAAATTAGGCACAGTGAGAAATTAACAATACCTAATAGCAAAATGGAAAAATTACAATACAGCTGACCCTTTAAAAACATGGGTTTGAACTATGCAGGTCAACTTACATGGATTTTTTTCAATATATACAGAGCTGTAAATGTATTTTCTCCTCGTGATTTTCTTAACATCTTCTTTTCTCTAGATTATTTTATTGTAAGCATACAATATCCGATACATACAACATACAAAATATGTGTTAGTTGACTCTTTATGTTATTGAAAGGCTTCTGGTCAACAGAAGGCTATTAGTTAAATCTGGGAGGAGTCAAAAGTTACATGAGGATTTTCAACGGTGTGGGGGTCAGCGCCCCAGCCCCTGCATTGTTCAAGGGTCAACTGTATACTGTAATAAAAGCTACATGAATGTGGTCTCTCTCTCTCTCAAAATACCTCGTGCTGTACTCACCCTCCTTGTGGTGGTGTGAGATGATAAGATGCCTACGAGGGGAGATGAAGTGAGGCAAACGATGTAGCACTAGGCTACCAGTGACCTTGTGGTGAAGTGTCGGGAGGAGGAGCGCTTGCTTCCAGACTGCCGATGACCGCAGGTAAACTGTTCAGAAAGTGAGCCCGCAGCTGAAGGGGGACCACCGTGCTACAAAGCGGTTCGGCTGCTCTAGAGTGGGGGTTATTCTACGATGACAAGAACAACCTCTGAACGCTCCTACTTCCTTAGCCTCTGCCGCCACTTCCGGAGACCGGTACGTCCAAAGAGTCCAGTGCAGTGGTTCAGAGTGACAGTGCGGGTTTTGGAGTCAAAGACCCGAGTGCAAATTCCAGTTGTGCCACTGTGACATTAGGCAAGCCACGTAAACTGATCTGCAAACACATGCTAGAGTAGCTCCTTTCTTGTGAAAGCTAAATGAGACTCTACAAAGGAAATGCTGAGCCTAGTGTGTGGTATGTTTATGTGCCCAACAAATGGAGACCACTATTTATTTCTATTACTAAAATACGCAGCTCTGACCCTACCTGCCTTCCAAATCCATCCCCATCCCTATTACAAGCTCACACTCCTGGAAGTCCACCCCTCTCATTTTGTTTCCCAGGAGGTACATTAGGTTGCTTAACTTGATATCTCTATACTCTGGCCCCTTGAACAACGGAGGGGTTAGAGGGACCGACCCTGCACCACGCAGCCCAAAATCTTTTAATTCCCCCAAAACTTAATAGCCTACTATTTTGTTTTGTATTTGTGTGGGGGGAGGCAAAGAGAGAGGGAGGGAGAATCCCACGCAGGGTCCGTATTGTCAGTGCAGAGTCCAACTCGGGGCTCGATCTCACGAACCGTGGGATCCTGACCTGAGCTGAAAGCAAGAGTCAAACGATGACTGAGCCACCCTGGCACCCCAAAGATTTAAAAATTTTTAACCTCTCCAAGAAAGACAAAATTATGGCAGATCTATTTGATTGTATATGTTATTCTGTATACCAAATGTATCAAATGCGAAATTTGAGATTGACCGAGTACGTGTACATGAGCATGTATTCAGACATTATGGAGATTTTCAATGTAGTTAGCCAACAGTTTGCAGGACAGCACATGTTTTTAAGTAACCCATCTCTGCTGTGTTAGTGCTGCTTCCTTCACTCAAATGACTCACAATGAGGTCCTTAGTTCTCACAATGTGCAAAGGCACGTCTGACAGTTAAGAGACCAGACGTGACTTCAGGGACTCGTGTAAACTGCTGAGAACAGCTCAGAGACCATGGCTTCATTCTACCGCTTAAGTCGAAATTCAACATTTCCCCCAAAACAGCGACAATCAGCAAAACTGTTCACATAACTTTCCTCTAGTTTTTCTCACTCTTCCTCTTTCTGAAACTGAGGTCCAAGGGCATTCCTCCTAGCAGAATACAGAAATTTACCAACTGGTCTGATTCAAAGTATCTCTCATAAACATTTATCTTTTATCAGCTGCATAAATCTGGTTTTTTAAAAAATAATAAAAAAACATCTTGCTAAGTGCCTGTGTTGTTAAAAAGATTATAAAACCCTATTAATTTAATCCGCCATGTCTAGGTATAAAATATGTAAGGAATAATGTTAAACAAAACACAACTCGGGGAAAAAGTTAAATGAAAACAGATAGGTTATTACTATACACACACACATCATCCACATGTGTATACACACACACACACACACACACAAACTGATCAAAGGGTCAGAAAAGTTCTTTTTTTTTTTTTAATTAAAAAGAAACAAAACAAAACACCTAAGAGTTCAAATAGACCTGGAAACCAGCTGACGCTGACCCAAACTATCTGGATGCTGACGGCCGCTGCTGGGCTCTGTCGCTGAGTTTGGCACCACTGACCGGCCGTTCCCGCGAGCCTCTGCTGCAGGAAATGCCGAGGCAGGAAGAAGCGTTTCTGGCCAGTAGAGGACCTGTGTGCTGATCATGTGGTGTGAATTAAAAGCCAGTGTACAGACTCTTGGAATGTACGACCCACTTAATTTTGGCAAAATGTAGTTTTCTGGCTCAAAAGAAAAAACACATAAAGAAAGCATTTGGACATCTCCAAGTAAATGACTCTGACAGATGTGGAAAGGCAGAACAGAGACTCTTGAAGTGACAGAGACACAGTCCCTAAGTCTTCGGGATCCTGAACCTTTACAAGAGGTAAATCATTTAATGACGATATTCAAATTACTGAACAGCAAGTTCAGGTGTTAAGTCCAGTTAAAAAAAATCCTATTTTTGGGGGTGCCTGGGTGGCTCAGTCGGTTAAGCGTCCGACTTTAGCTCAGGTCATGATCTCGCAGTTCACTAGTTCGAGCCCCACATCAAGCTCTGTGCTGACAGCTCAGAGCCTAGAGCCTGGAGCCTGCTTTGGATTCTGTGTCTCCCTCTCTCTGCTCCTCCCTCGCTCATGCCCTCTCTCTCTCTCTCTCTCTCTCTCTCAGAAATAAACTTAAAAAAAAAAAATCCTATTTTCTTAAATTTTGACTATGTAGAGAAAAATATAAAAACGTACAATATAAATAAGTAGGGTTTAAAAAAATCAAAATAATATGTCCCCAGTTTCTGAATGTCTTAGCCAAATAAGTAAAATCACACAAAAGCACATGATTTGTTTGGGTTTTATAATTAGTTCCAATTAAGTTGCACTTGTATAATACAGTCTAGTTTGCAACTCTGTATCTCCAGCCTGAACTCTAGATCTGAACTTTCAACAAGCTCTTTCTCCACTTTGGACATCCCAAATCAGCCTTTCAAGAAAGAATTATGACCGGCATCCCTGTCATTCCTGACACACACACACACCCCTTCCATCTCTTCCTCGGTGCTCCCAACCATCCACCCTGTTGTTCAAGTCAAAGCCCTGGACATCATTCCTGACTCATCCTTTACACATCTGACCCCTTCACATCCAATCAATCACCAACCCGCCTCCTAAACACCTCTGAATTTCATCCACTTCTTTCCACTTCTACTGCCACTTTCTAGTTCAGGCCACCCCAGGCTCAGTGGCTGAGAGTTTGGGCTCTGGCTTCAGGCGGACTTGCTCTGCCACGTACGAACAGGGTGCACTTGGTCATGGTCCTGGTCGTTGGAATCCTTCAGTCTCCTAAACTATAAAATGAGGACAATGACAACAATGCCCATCTCACAGAGTTGCTGGGGAATTTAAATGAAATATCCATGTAAAAGTCCTGAAATGTTCAGTCAATGTCAACAACCACCATCATCCTCTCTTTGGGTGCTGAGCACAATTCCTCAGGGTTAGGTGACCTCCTTTCCTAGTGGTGCAAACACTCTTAATTGTTTTCTCTGTCCTCCACCCCAAATGTAAGCAACTTGATGGCAAGCACTAATAAAACAATGACAATAACAAATCATCATATATGAATGTTAAGAGCTATATAATAATAATAACTGACTATACACTATCATTAATGTATACATATTATATACTGAATGTGGCATTTCTTTAGAGGTCATTAGTGAGAAAAAGAAACATTAACACACACAGATTTAAGTCGGCAAGGAATCAATAGTCAAAAGCATCAGCTGCCATATTTTGATGTGTGACACTAAACATTTTAAGCAATTCGCAAGCCTTCCCTGAGAAAGTAACATACATGGACACTTCTTGATCTTGAAAAGATTCACTTTTGCTACTCAGCAATTTATTTTGCGTTGTTTTGCAAGTCAGAGAGATCTGTTCCTCAAAACAAAGAAGCCGCCCAACAGTTTCACAAGTGTGACTCAAGTCTTTTCAGAGGAAGCACTTGAAAAGAGCCTCTCTAGCCGCCTGCACTGACATCTAAGACTCCCATTTAGGAGAAAGACAAAGAGCATGTCTCAGAATACTGACCTCCCGCATTCACAAGTAGGAAGAGGAGATTCAAATGTTTCCCTGTGGGGCTGAATTAAAAAAAACAAAAAACAAAAAACAAAAAACAAAACTAAAACCAGTGACATGGTCCTTCTCTACTGGTTTTACTAGTCACAGGAAAATTACCCTCTTTCTTAAGCAATGAAAACAGATTGTCCTCAGTTTTTGAAAGTGAACGGAAGCAATTCTGATTTTATTTCCAAATTTTAAACGGTGTTGTTCTGACTCAAATTCCTCAACCTCCTGAGAGAAGTTCAAGATGAGGGCAGAGGGCTCCTACTCCCCCCGCCCAGGTGAGGGCGCAGCTGTGGATACCTGGGCTCCGTAGACGCGCTGCATCGCCTGGAGCAGCTGGTTGGTATAATCCGTGAGGGTGCCAGCATCTTCTTCAAAAACACTCAGTAAAGAGCGAGTCTACAAGAAAAGAAGAAACGAAGTCGACTTTATTTCTAAGTAGAAAAGTTACAAAGGAGGTAGAAAACACACACCTCTGAAATGTGGAGAGAGAAGGGGCCTATTCTCTGGCTCCATTCTTTTACTGATAATAGTAGGAAGAGTTGATTTCTGGAGCTTTAATTTAGAACTGCTTTTCTAGGGGCGCTTGGGTGGCTCAGTTGGTTAAGCCTCTGACTTCAGCTCAGGTCATGATCTCGAGGTTCACAGGCTCAAGCCCCTGTGCTGACAGCTCAGAGCCTGGAGCCTGCTTCAGGTTCTGTGTCCCCTCTCTCTGCTCTTCCCCCTCTCATGCTCTCTCAAAAATAAATAAATGTTTAAAAAAAAAAGGCATTAGAACTGCTTTTCTAATCCTTCAGACTACAATGCAGGGATAAACAATATAATTCGAGTGTCGAGGCCAGAGAAGGAAAGCCAACTTTTAAAGAGTTAAGACTCCAGCACTATTACTGTTTCAACTTAGCCCCTACCCAAGCATCAGGCGAGTCTATGCAATTAAATAAAAAAAAATTAAAAAAAAAAAAAAAGAGGTAAAAAGGCAGCCTCTCCTTTCCAGCCCATAAACTGAACACAACGTCAGGCCTGCGTGTTTACCTGGGGTGTGGACGCCCAGCAGTATACCACCCCAACAGCTAGCCATCTGTCTGGTTTTCTGCAGTCTTGGACATCTTGCAGGAGTGTGTCATTCTTTCCTCTTCAGAAACTATGGTCAATTTTCATGTCTTTTGTCGTCTTTTATTCAACCAATTTAAAACTCATAGCCAGGAAATTTCCAGATCTACCCTGGGTCCACCAGCAGATCTGGGCACAACACCGAGACAGCAACTTAACAAGAACGTGAACTCAGTTCCCTTTACGAAGACTAAACCACTCAGTGCCCTGGAGCAGCTGAACAATGTCACCAGATGAAAGGTATTTCCTATCGTTCTTATGCACAGAGCCCGACACATGGCGAACTCTGAAGAAATATTTACATATTGATGGCATCTAAAGAAGTATCAAGGTGTCACATAAGTGACTATATCTACTCAGGGGACTTTACTTACTGTGTCCAGCGCAGTGGGAATTTAAAATATTATGCCAGGGATAATGGAATCTCTGAGAATAACCCATGAGGCACAGAACGAACAGTGAGTTACAGAAATGCTTTTAATAAGATGGTATCAAAGCACGTTACAAAGAATACCCTCTTAAGGCTCATTATTTCCCTGCAAAATGAATTTCAATTCCTTCTTTTTCTCAGCTCAGGTAAGAGAGCAATAACCGGCCTCCAAGCACCCTCAATTATCTGGGCGTTTGGGTGGTTCAGTCTACCCTTGATCTTGTTCCACAAACTCTGGTACACTTCACAGTAACACACACTTGTCCTGGCTTTGCCTGAGGCCTTTAAGGCTAAAAATACCTGCTCTGAGACCAGTATACTCTCTTTACTATCAGTCTTTTTTTTTTTTTTTTTTTCAACGTTTTTTATTTATTTTTGGGACAGAGAGAGACAGAGCATGAACGGGGGAGGGGCAGAGAGAGAGGGAGACACAGAATCGGAAACAGGCTCCAGGCTCCGAGCCATCAGCCCAGAGCCTGATGCGGGGCTCGAACTCACGGACCGCGAGATCGTGACCTGGCTGAAGTCGGACGCTTAACCGACTGCGCCACCCAGGCGCCCCTACTATCAGTCCTTTTTAACAGAGGGACCAGAGCAATAAGGAAGATGTCGGATAGGTTTTTAAAAAGCTCTCAATGACAGCAAAATATCAGAGTTCCTACAGTGTGTAATTCGCGTGCTAAAGCAGAGTCCATCAAACTTTTTTAAAATGAAAAACGATGGTGCACAACACATTTTACCAATGTTCGTCATTAGTACGCATATGCGCTGATTTCTTCTATTCTATTCCATTTGTAAACAAAAATCATGATTGTGACTCACTGGATCTCATAATTGACTCATGGATGTCAACCAGTAGGTGAAAAACACTGGGTTAGAACTCTTCATTCTGTCTTCTTAAAATATACTTTTTTTCAGGGGCGCCTGGGTGGCTCAGTCAGTTAAGCATCCAACTCTTGGTTTCAGCTCAGGTCATGATCTCAAGGTTGGTGAGTTCAAGCCCCACATCAGGCTCCACGCTGACAGCACAGAGCCTGCTTGAGATTCTCTCTTTCTCTCTCTCTCTCTCCCCCTCCCCTGCTCATGCTCTCTCTCTCAAAATAAATAAATAAAACTTAAAATTAAATAAATATAATTTTTATTTTGGAAAATAAAAAAAGACTGCATTCATTCATTGATGCATGCATCTCTGCCTTCATCTAATATCTGACAAAACATTGTGCTGGGAACTGGGATTCAAAGGTGATTAGAATCGACTCTATGTTCTCCAGGAGCTTATAGCCCGCTGCACCTCTCAAAGGACCTGGGAGCACCTTGGGGGACCATGTCAGTGCTGAGTCCAAATTCAAGCTCTGACACTAATTTGCAGGGTTACTGAGATCATGAATGTACATAAAGTGCCTACTACTGTGTGACCTATAGTGACAGCAGATGACACTGATCATGACGATAATGAGCACTGATTACTTACTAAAGATAATAAAGGCTTTACACGTAGGATTTCATTTTGTTAACTGAGAGCAGAGTTTGCTGAAGATACCGAGAGCAGCTACAGACGAAGCCTCTGGGAGACTCGGAAAGGAAAGGAGCACGGGTCTGTGTGTGATTTCACTTTAACGCCACAGCAATGGTTATCTATAAATGTTATCTAAGAGTGAAGGACCTTTTCACCTTTTTGTAGTCAATGTGTCAATGCTGTAGGAACTCACCCATGTCTATTATGATCCTGGTATCTTTCTTCGCTGTACCTACCATGTCTAGGATATTGAGAAGAATGATACAACTGGATTGAGGATATTTAATTTTTTAAAATACTACAAATATCCATTTAGTCAAGTCCTACTCCTTGTTTTCAAAACTCTTAGGAATAAAATTGAGTGGAAAATGATAGGTAAGATGAAAAGAGAAGGCTTGTGTAAATGTCCTCCACAAAGAGAACAGGGAAAAAAACGAAAACTCCTTTACTCTGTACCTCCCAGGTGTGAGACACTGTGGTGGGCATTAAATATTTGTTATTTCACTGAATCCTTCCAACAACTTTAGGAGACAGATACCATGGATACGTAACCCTTTTCACAGACGATAAAACTAAGGCTCATCAAGGTTAAGAAACTTGCTCAACCTCCCGTGGTGGGGAAGCAGCAGGGCTGGGATGTAAATCCAGGTTTGTCTGGCACCGATGGCCATGCTTCCTCCACCGCAGGAGGCTGTACCTGTCACCCAGCAGGCTGAGCTTTACCAGTGGGCATGCTCTGTGGTCCACAGCCCAAGTCCTTCCTGCCTGGAGCTGGCTTCCCTTTGGTCATCCTACTGCCACGCTCTCACCTGTAATAACTGCTAAAGACTTGTATCAGAAGAGTTTTGTTTTGTTTCCTTACACTCTGGACATGTTTACCATGACCCCCATTAGCAATGGCAAGAAAAATCCAGTGTTTCTAATTTAACTAGGTCATGGTCACAGCTGAAAAATACACCCAGCTATCTTAGGCACTGTTTTGATATCCACATTATCAGCTCCATATCTGCTTAAATTTATATTTGGAACAACAGGACTGTTCTTAGTCATAAGGAATGAGACCAAGCACCAGGCACAGGTACATCAGACATCAAAGACTCTACTTAAAAGTCTGAAAGACGATGGTGCATGTCACTTATAAAGATAACAGCAATCATTTATGGCGTGACTATGACAAGCAGGCATAAATAACTTTAGCACGTTATTTATTCATAAGAATCCCATTAAGTAATTACTTTTATACTAATTTTACACATGTCAAAACACAAGCTCAGAGAGGTTGAGTAACCTGCATAACGTAACAGTGGCAGAATCAGGATTTCAATCCCATCCTTTCTCTACTACTCTGCACTCTTAAGAGTATGTCCAGCCAGAAAAACCAAACTAGACACCCCAAGGATACAGCCTCAGCTCCACATCACCCCTCCATCTTAAAGAAACTGGCTGTTCCCTAATAAAAGAGTCCCAGACATGGTTTACTCTCCAGAATAGTATCTGATTATATAACGGCACAGCCTTAATAACTCTGATTGTAAAATACATGCATTGTTCTTCACAAAGAAGACATAACCACAGGCTGTCTTGAGGAATCTTGCTTGAGGAAAGAAAAGCCTGGCTTGGTCAAGGACGGCCGTTCCCAGTTGGGCCACTCACTGCATAAGCTCAGAACTAAGTCTTTAATTTCTCTGGGCTTCAGTTATGCCAAGGGCAAAGGAAACAAACAAAAATCAAGAAAACAGCGAGCAATAGCGCCTTTGTCTGCACCTTATCTCAAAAGCTCGCTATCACGCAAAAGACAGTAAGCCCCTGGGGGCTGCAGCTGCCCACATCAGTCCTTATCTGTCTCCCGGAACAGACTGTGCACCAGTGGCGGGCAGGCATTCTCACCATGTCACTATATTCCCGGCATCTAGCAGAGCCTGGCAAGGAGCAGAGGCTCGTAATCGGCCATGGAGACAAGTATGTTAGTCCCTGAAACACTGTGCATCTCACATATCAGATGTAACTAGAAATAACGTGTGTGTGCACAGACGGGGTCTTACAATACACCCCGCAGAACTAAAAAGGAGGAAATGAATAGATGTGTCTAAGGGAGGTCAACTGCTATTCAGCTCTTCTTGGGTCACTGAGTTCAAATACAAAAGCTTTTGTGTTCACTAATCAATCCTGCACAGGCTGCTGTGGCAACCCTCATAACTACTCTTCAGAAAACTAGAACAAACAAACGATAGATGGTTTCTCAGGACCTTCTCCTTTCAGCGGAAAAACATTTTAGGTCACCGATGACAGAAAATCCAGGTGCCAGGTAGCTGGGTCAACTTGAACAATATACTCAAGACTCCCTGGTTCCAATCCTGGCTCGGCCGCTGCAGCGTGTATAATCTGGGGCAAGTTATTTAACTTCTCTGCTCCTTGGTACTTTTAATAGGAAGCCTACTACTTCAAAAGACTGTCGGGAACATGAAGTGAATTAATACAGGTGAAGGATTTAGAATGGTGCCTAGCACACAAAATGCATGCGTCACATAGGGATTTGTTACTGTTTTTCCTCTGCACACATAAAATGAAGGACTCTGATTAGCTTCTCTCCAGTTCCAAATCGATGAGCCTCCTTGGAAGAAAGGCCGCTTTAGGCACATGCCCCCTGTGAGACTGCTAAATAAATATATTCTGATGAGTATCAAAGACCTTCTTGAAAGTTAGCTTCCACTGAACAACCTCGTGAAGGACCCCAGCAGGGTTACGCCCAACTCCCAAAGGCAGTAGCAACTTCCCCACGTGAAGAGGAACATCACATAGGAAGGGCAATGCCACACAACCTCCTCTTTCACATGACAAGCTCAAAGTTATAAACCATGCACTATGATAGAATTTTAAGCTTCGAAAGCCCCTTAGAGGTCATCTGCTCCAGGTCCCTCATTCTGCAGATGAGAAAATGGACTCAGTCACAGGGTGGAGATGGCTGACATGCCCCAGTCACACGACGAGTCAGTGGGAGAGCAAGAATCAGGACCCAGGTTTCCTGACTTGCTTGCCTCACTGCTGAGCAAACCCTGTAAACGACTCAGAAATTGTGCCTGTTCACTTATGCGAGAGGCAAAAATGCAGCATGTGACTTACCAGCAACATGGAGAGTCAGTTAGTACAACCTCTCTGACCTGGCCCAGCCCATCACCATGATCAGTTAGGAAAGCAAGAGATCTTTGCACTCAGTTTCTCCAACTACAAAGCAAATGGAAATCCTAAATTCTACCTTATTATCTTCACATCTCACACTATGTGTGAGGATGCACAAAATGACTTCTCCAAAGAGCTTTGGTCCCATTAAAATGCCACCAGTCTGAAGCCTTCAAAGAGCCCTTTGAAAAGTCAATCAGACCAGCGGATGCCAATTAAAAAATAAAAGTCACAGCTTGATCAAGTTTCTCACTTGCCTACCTAAAGATCAAAAAAAAAAAAAAAAGGGGGGGGGGCAGAAGAAAACTAAGCACGTAGCCCTTTTACTACTTATTCTGAACTGGCAAGATGCAGAGTGGGTGTAGCTAAGTCCATCAAAAGGTCATTGAACCAGGAGTTCAATCCGCTAAGAAGAAAAAGGAAAGGAACCGAAAAGAGAAGGAAAACAGGTTAATATCATAAGAATTTTTCAAGAGTTGAGACACCTGGGCATAAAGAGACTTCTTTAAACAACTCAGAACCAGGAGAGCGAATATGAAGCTGGGGAAATGCTAATGGGGAACAAAAGTTCCCTGAAGAGAAGCCCATTGGATTATAAACTAATGTCATTCTGCACTCATCTGCCATATTTACACAGCCCCTTTCATCTGCAGAGCTCAAAGGACTTAACTTCCATCTCCAGCGTGCTAATGAAGTTCCCCCGTGCCACAAATAGGGCAGGTGCTGTCATTTTCTCTTGACAAATGGGAAAACTGTGCCGAAGGGTACCGCTGAGAAAGAGCTCTGGGCTCTCTGCCTCCCATCTTGGCCCTAAATCCACCAGGACCTATCCCATCAGTGGTAGTAGCGGGGATAATAATAACTAAGATTGACTACTTCTTTTCTACCAGACGTTGCCCGCTAACAACCTGACAGGCTTTCCCTTACTTAATTCTGACAACTCTACCAGGCGGATACAATTATTACCCCTGGGTTACAGATGACAAAACTGCAGCACAAAAAGGTTAAATTATCTGCCCGAGGCGCTCAGCGAAGCGGGGGAGCCGGAGTTTAGGCCGGGCAGCGTCAGTTTCAGCTGACTTTGGGAAGGGGTCGCGCCACAAAGACTCCGGCCGTGGGGTGCTCTCCCGGGTTCTCCAGCCCCGCCTGAGGGGTGCCCCCTCCCGGCCGGCCCACCCCGCGTGCTCCAGGCCTTCATCCCGGGGCTTGAGGGGCCTCCCCGGCCCCCGGGCGAGGTGACCGGAGCGGTGGGAGGTACCTGGGGGCTGTCCTGCAACGCCTCCTCCAGCAGGAGCTTGTCCACCGCGGGCATGGTGGCGCGGAGCCGGACCGGAGTACGCAGGGCGGAAGGCGCGGCCGCCGAGGGTGCCCAGGACTGAAGCGACGAGGCTGACGCTCCGTGCCCGCCGCGGCCACGCGCGCGCCCACGCCTGGCCACAGGCCGCCACCCCCGCAGCCTCCCGCCCACCCGCCGGCCCTCCTCCCAGCCCAACCCAACCCTCGGCGGGGCTGAATCAACAGGAAGTGTGGCGAACGCATGGGTGAGCCACCGGAAGTGTGGCTGCCCCGCTTCCGCCGCACCGCGCCTCACGGGAAGCCGCAGAGCCTCGCGCGGGTCCGGCTGCTCAGTGCTGGCCGCGGGTGTTAAGGTCTGCGGTTAGGGAGCCGGATGCTTAACGCTGGTCCGTGTTGTTAGCGCCCCAAACGACACCTCGAGAGCGGAACGATAGGGTTTTATCTACTTGTGGTTGCCCAGAAGACTTTTGAATCGAAGGAGATAGGAGAGAACAGATTTGTGCCGCGGCGACTCTCGGCCGCTTTTTTACTGGAGGGAAAAAGCCTACGCTTGCTTGCCACGCCACTTTTTTCTAGATAAATCCCATTGGCCCCGTAGCAGCTCTGAGCGCAGAGTCACCTAATTCTAGAGAAGAAAATGGATAACGGAATCATCTGTGTTTTTCAGAAGTAGCCATTTGTCATAAATTTCATAATCTAGTTTTTAGACTTGGAAGGAATAGGTAATATAGTTCGATTCTCATTTGGAGGTAAGAAAGCGGGCCCCAGAGAATGAGTGATTTGGTCAGGGTCCAACAATGAAAGGTATTGGAAGAAGAGACAGAAGCAGTGGGGAGCAATGGGGAGTACTGGCAAACGGAACTTGGTGTCTTCTTATCCCAAAGGCAAGGGTTTCAGAAGTTCTTTATCAGTGGGGTTTGTCTAATAGAACGCATTACCAGAAACAACAGGCAGGGTGTGATAAAATTATACAAATGCTATAGAAACACCTAGGTATATTAAGGCACAACCTGAGTTGCAAACACCTGTGAAATTCTGATGGCGTGCTGCCTGGTCCCTTGGAGATTTTAAGGCCATTGTTCCTAGTTGGCTCTAGCCAGCACCAACTTTTCCTGAGCCGTTGTACAGCTTCCATGGGGGAAATCATCCAGCAGCCGTTTCCCCACCGTATTCTTTCTTCTTAGGTATCATGTTCAAACCATGTCTCTTCCTTTCCCTATATTTTCTGTCAAGTACCGTTCAGTTAATTTCACCTCGTGCGCTCTCCCAGCCCTCTCCTGACTGAAATCCTCTTCCAAAGGCCAGATTCAAGCTCTTCTTTCCTCCTCCCTGGCCCCAAAGATCACTCCCTACTCTGAACAAACAGCCCTCTCCTTCATTGACACCCAAGGCGTCTTACCAGGTGGTGCTTTTTCTTTCTCCGTGTAGATCTCCCTGTGTAAATAGAAAACCTCTCAAGAGCATAGCACATCATCTTTTTTTTTTAATCTGAATACTGATACATGTGATAAATACTTGTTTGCTGTTTATGACATGTTCATCTCTTACAACTCTTTTCCAATTACTTTTTTTTTAACGTTTATTTTTGAGACAGAGACAGAGCATGAACGGGGGAGGGTCAGAGAGAGGGAGACTCAGAATCTGAAACAGGCTCCAGGCTCTGAGCTGTCAGCACAGAGGCTGACGCGGGGCTCGAACTCAAGGACCTCGAGATCATGACCTGAGCCGAAGTTGGCCGCTTAACCGACTGAGCCACCCAGGCGCCCCTCCAGTTACTTAAGAGAAATTTCCCCCAGCCTTCCATCTTGCGTTGTTTCTACCCTTCCAGCCAATTGAAAACAAAACAGTTATCAATTGCCTACCAGGCAAACGATAATGATCCTGCTGATGATAAGAATAGTATAAGATTGTACCAGGAGAAAGAAATGCATACATTTTAATTTTTTAATGTTTGTTTATTTTTGAGAGACAGAGACATAGCATGAGTGGGGGAGGGGCAGAGAGAGAGGGAGGCACAGAATCTGAAGGCGGCTCCAGGCTCTAAGCTGTCAGCACAGAGCCTAATGAGGGGTTTGAACCCACAAGCTGTGAGATCATGACCTGAGCCGAAGTTGGAAGCTTAACTGACTGAGCCACCCAGGCGCCCCAGAAATGCATATATTTTAATATGAAAATAGATGTTAAAAAAGTCACAATGCCCTCCATGATCCTTGAAAGGGCTCAGAAATCCCGTTGGGAATCACTGCGCTATTTTTCATGTGCCATCTCCTCTCTCTCCTAATTAAAGTCACTTTTCCTCAAACACCTGTATTCAAAAATGTTTAAGCATTCTTACACAATGCCATTACTTTCTTACATTTTATTGCTACATTATGGGTAAACAGCCTTAGTGGGATTTCTTGACCCTTAAGTATCATTTATAATACTGTTTCTATGGGAGAATGCATCCCAAATTCAAAACAACTGAGTTACAAAACAAACTCGGGGACTACAACACATTTGCAAAGCGTTAATTCATTGTCATTAGTTCAACTAATCATTCATTAAATATAGACGGCTCAATATTAAACACTGTGTCTCCCACTTATTTTACTGTCGTTATTATGCCTCTCATTTAAATTCTGAAGCCAAGTATCCTCCTTTTCAACAGATAATCCTTGAAAAACTATGTAAGAGGAATTTTTATGCAAACATGAGAACAATTTTAAATGTCTCATGTAAAAGTTTCTGTCCCTATTAAACTATTGCGAGGGTTGGGGCGCCTGGGTGGCTCGGTCGGATAGGTGTCTGACTTTGGCTCAGCTCATGATCTTGTGGTCGGTGAGTCTGAGCCCTGTGTTGGACTCTGTGCTGACAGCTCGGAGCCTGGAGCCTGCTTCGGATTCTGTGTGTGTCTCTCTCTCTTTGCCCCTCCCCTGCTTGCTCTCTTTCTCTCTCTCTCTCTCAAAAATAAACATTAAAACAAAAAGAGAGAGAGAGACGAGCTTGCTGTTAGGAGAGGCACGGGCCACAAGGGAGCACGTGGTAGAAGGCTACCACTGACATTTCTGGGAATCGGGGAAGGAGCATGGGCCAGCAGAGTGACTGCCACTCTTCAGTCCATCTTGCTCGGAGCTGGTGCCATGTCTGTCTGCCTCTCTGTCCACTGCTGCTGCTGCTGCATCATCCTTGGAAGGAAAATAAATATTAGTAAGTTTATACATATAGTATACTGTATATGAATCTTTTGAGCAGCGTTCCAAGAAATAACAAATCCTGGAAGAGGAAGTGCATCCTAGAATTGACAATGTTGACACAAGCTGCAGTGGAGTGCTGTTAGCCTTGTTAGAGGAGATCAGTGATACGTTACTCAAGTATCACCCAGGAACGTTCCCTGCTGGCTCCCAGTGTTTGTATAATGACTAGAGGCGATGATGGTTCTTCATGAATACCACCCGACTTAATTTTTCTTATGTGTTGAACAATTGTGGGTAGCCATAATAGTGAGGAAAGAGCCTATAATACCAGGAATATGTTAGGAATAGCTTATGATATTAGAAATTTCTGAGATTTCCCAGGAATTCTGATTTCTGGAATTTGGAAACGCCAATGAGGGCCTGTAGGCTAAATGAAGACCTTCTCTGAGTTGCCTTATGCTGATTTTGCCTGTCTTTCCTCCGTCTGCCCATGAGACTTGGTACACGCTTTTAGTAGCACTTGTCCCATCATCTTATTTATTTACCTGCCTCTCTCCCCACTTAACTGTGAGACCCTAAATTACAAGTTCACTTCATGCATCTTTATTTCTTTAACTCCAAGCTCAGAACCTGACATTCAATTGGCTTTCAGTGATAATTTGCTCAGTGACTGAAGGAATTCAGTAATGGCATCAGTTAAGGTTCGATTTGCCTGTAACTAATCAGAAAAAAAAATAATAGTGTGTTAAACACGACGGAAGTTCTCTCTTCCGTATTTAAGAAGTCCACAGGTGGTCAGTCCAGGCCTAGTACGGCCTCCAGATTCCTCCTAATCTTGTTCCAGCTTCCCTTCCCAAAATCATCCCACGGTCCCATCCCATGATCCAGGATGGCTGCTGGCTCTCCTGTCACTAAGTCAGCTTTCCAACTAGCAGGTTGGACAGAGCAACAGAGGACATGTTTCCACCCACATACCACTTCTGCTCACATCGCATCCCACAAGCCAGGACTTAATTGTAGTATGGCCGTACCTAACTGCAAGGGAAGCTGGAAAGTTGACCTTTTTCTAGGCTCCGTATGCCCAGTTAAAAACCAAGGTTTCTCCTCATATTCTGCTGATGGGAACGTACAATGGAGCAATCAGTGCGGAAAATAGTTGAGCAGCTCTTCAAATTGTGAAACATAAAGTCATCACATGACCCAGCAAGGCCCTCCTAGTGTCCACCCAAGAGACTAAAAACATCTGTCCGCGGAAAAACTTGTACATGGAGGTTTGTAGCAGCATTATTCGTAACAGCCAAACAGTGGGAAACAACCCAAATGTCCGTCAACTACAGATGGGTAAACAAAATATGGTATTATGGTATAGCCATGCAATGGAACACTATTATTATTATCTGGCCATAAAAAAAGAGTGAAGTGCAGTGTGGTTAAATCTTGAAAACGATATGCTAAATAAGAGAAACCAGCCACAAAAAGCCACGTGTCATACGACTCCAAGTACATGGAATGTCCATAATAGAGAAATCAGCAGAGACTGGAAGTGGGTGAACAGTAGCCAGGGAGGCAGGGGGGAGGAGGGAATGGGGAGGAACTGCTAGGTGTGGGGTTTATTCTGGGGTGATGAAATAATCTGGAGTTAGTAGTGACGATCATACAGCCTTGTGAATGCATTAAAAAAAAAACATTGAATGGTATACTTCAAAATGATGAATTTTATGATATGCAAATTACATCTCAATTAAAAAAAGTTTTTTTTTAAATCTGGCATTCTACTATTGAAAGGAGAGGGAGAATAACAACTTGGGACGATGGTCTCTGCCATAATTCCCTAGAATCA